CAGTCCACAGGAAAGGGAAAATTTGTGTCAAATATGATTCTGCTTTAGGGACACTCCATGATATTAGAAGTTAAACTTAGTATGCTCAATGAGCAGACGGAAGATCTACTTCAGAATTGCATCATTAATTTGCAAATTATTTGAGACAGAGTCACAGCTTAAATAAGCTCTGTATTCATATAGTGTTTGGAATAATGGAAGCCTAATCTTACAGGTCTGCTAAGTAAAAATAGTAGTGAATATTTAAAAAACAAGGACAGTTTTTTTGGAAAAACCTGCTCAGATAATTCTCTAATCAGATACTGGATTTTTCAGTGCAGCCTCTGAGTGTATGGGAAGACTAGAAATTATCATAAAAAATGTTTCATGAGAGGGAATACCGTATTATGTTTGGCATAGCTACATAGAGTCATGAATGAACAGTGTAAATGAAGACTGACTATACTTCACACAATGCTGTCTGGTTGTGGAACCTCTCAGTGCTGTTTCTGTTGCATTGCACATAAAGGAGACCAACTTTAGCAAAGCTGATTTTCTATATCCTATAGAAGATGGCACGCAGGGGCAGAAAGTGGAAAATATCTCAAGATTCTAGAACAGTCAGTTCAATGCAAAATTCTGCTAGTCCTCTAGGGCAAGATCTATATTGATGACATCAACAAAAGCACCCTTTCTCAGGCATAAACTTTCCAGTCTACACTGAGAATGCCTGCTTTTAGACTCGATAGCAGTCCATCTCGAGCCTATTTGGCTTAAGAACCTTTTATTTAGGAGCTTGTTTTTTGCACACTGTGGGCACAGAAAGTACTCTTGCCATGACAACACAAAATTCTGTTCCTTAATTCTTGACCTGCAGGCACCTACTCCCCCTCTCCAGTATCCATAGTACGAGACAAACTCAGGAAGAGACACAAGACTAATTCTGGATAAACGAGAGCAGTTTCTACAGTTTTGGTCAGTAAATAAAGATACAGTCTTATAGAGTCACAGGGTTCAGTCTAGATGACCTTTAATGTGATTGTAGATACAGGGTTTTGTGTTTGTGAACTATACTCAGTGAGTACATCCTGTCACACACTGACTGCTGCTTTCAGTTGCTTTCATAAAAGATATGGTCTAGCATGGTCTACAGAAATTGACTCAATACAAAGCTGCTCAGGATGTATGTATAAAACTGTACTCTCCACCAATTCAAGTAGTTCACAACCCAAAAACCTATCAGCTTCTCTCTGATAGTATTTTGTTTTAAAAGCAAATTAATGGACATGCCTAATACTGACTTTAATATCTGAAGTTAAAGACATTTTTAATATAAGCTCTATTTTCTGGAGAGCAATACAACTTATTAAAAAGAGAGTAAAACACAAAACCTGCAATATAGAGGGATGAGAGAATGGATTAACAGAGTAATATTTGCAATTGGTTTTTCATTATATCAACACATGTCTGCCTAGGAGTATTACAGAGAACTGAATTTATACCACTTGGGAACATACAGTTAGCCCGTGTGGGATAGTCTGATTGGCCCCATTACTAATATTTACACACCATTTTAGTTTTCTGTGTTGTTTTCAAATATTTGCAAAACAGGTGTGTACTGCCATAAAATCATATTCAGCACATTTCCTGTTAAATTCCTACAGGTAATTTTCACAAAAATTCTAAAGCAGTGTCTTTTTTTAGGGTGGGGAGAGGTGCAGAGATCTGTTTCTTTCTTTTTCTTTTTCTTTTTTTTTTTTCCTGAAGATGAAAAAAAACCCAAACAACTGAATGTTTAAAAATCCATGATAGTTATCAGTTAACGACTATAGTGCCTGGAGTTTAATTCATGTTTAAAAATCCATACTGACTTATAACATTTCATCCTTATCTCAGACATTCTGACCCAAATAGGAGTCACATAGTGAGCATGGAAAGGCTAAAAAAACCCTATGTTCTACAGGATACTTTGAAATTACAAGACAAAAATCAAATGCAATAAATTGAATTCTTTGTCTAATGCAGTCAGATAGAATATTTCCCTATGTTCACGGAATTATGATTAATTTTGGGCAGGGGAAGGGAAGGTAATACTGACTGTAAATATGTGCAATTATGACTTGAAGGACTAATGAGATTACTTACCGGTAGCTTTTCAGCAATATTACACCTAGACAATGCTGCTACTGTGTTTTTGAAAATGAAAACGTAAATCAGCTAGGAGAAGATGGTGCTATTCTAGCATTATTGCAAACCTGCCAAATTAACCTAAATACTTTTCCTTTATTCCCTCACTTTTCTTTGGATAAGGCTATGAAGAAATGTAAAGGAAAGAAGATTACCCACTTACATGCACACAAACATCTCTCTTGCACAATCAGACCAAGAAGCAGGCATACAACAGCTTTCGCTGCAAAACATTTAGCACAAAGATTTCACAAGCTGTAAGGCTTCATCTAATGAGCACAATTTGAGAAATTAAAAGAATCTCACCCCATCTTCTTCATGAACTGCTGAGCATACTGAGTCAATACTGGATATTGCTGAACACAATGAAGTATCAAGGTGTTCATGCGAGATACTCCTAGCTCTAGCAAATTACACATTCTCCCATTCACCAGAGCAAAGAGCAAGAATGATTCTTCTAGACATTGTTTTTCAGAGATTCTGTACAGGACTACACCCTCAATCAAGATCTTACTGCATCAGAACAGACAGTTAAATAAATTATCATATCTTGCTACTTTCTCAATAATATCCGGATATGAGAAGGATGCTTTATTATAATGTATTACAGTATTCAACAATAAAACATGTTTCTTCTTCCCTTTATTAAAGCCTGCACTGTTTTTTTCTAAATTATGCCTTATAAAAAACCCAAGATTTTCGTTTGGCTGCCTGGATCTCAAACCCGACTCATTACCTCTCCTTAACTGATGATTGCTGGGCCATGAACAGAGCCTGTTATTGGCAACCCTGCCCTGCTCAAATACCCTTCTCCGAGCAGTAATTGCCCTACCTGATTTGTGATTATCTTACACATCATCTTCACTCGCAGAGCCACTTTGCTTTTTCTGCTCCCTGACAAGAACTAGCCATCCAACACTTCTTTTGTATACAAAAAATCCCCATTTAAAATAGTTGCATTGAATCACCATCACCTCTCAATTGCCTCTAAATGGACCTTAATGTAACTGTCTTTTTAGATAACTAGAAGACTAACTTTAAGGTTTCGAAATTTAGGGGATATTGATCAGTCCAGTCTAGAGAGGCACAAGATTCATGTGCAAGTTGTGTACCGTCTTTACAGAGGTGTGTTCTATAGCTGTACCCCCATCCCTTTAAATGGCTTACAGGCACTATTAACTTTAAACATGAATAGGATCCTGTTAAATACAATTGAGTCAGGGTTTAAATACAAATACATAAGTTATTGCAGGATCAGGACCAAATGTTCACTATATGAATGAAAATATCCTATACAACTTTTCTGCAACTTTAGCTTCCCAGTTAAGAGTCAAAAACTAAACACTCAATTAGCTTATAAGCAAGTAACATAAAAACTATACAGTAAACTCCTGCTGTAAGCAACATGAACCATGCAGGAATATTATAATCCAGCAAATGTGTATATGTGGTGATTTATGGAAGTTGCCTACTTTTACTGCTGTATTAGCTACTAGTCCTGCAGTTAAATACAAAGAAATGTACTCTTGAGGACTACAGAAATGTGCAGGTTGATCATAACTCAAATCTGAACCAATACTAACAAAAAGGCTGTTTTGTTCGTTGAAAAGAAATACCGTAAAACATACATTGAGTACGGATCTGTTCTCAAATCTGCTGAAGACAAAAAGAGTCTTTCTTTTGATTGTAATGTGCTTAGGTATTTAGTACCATTCCACTCAATGATATACACTGAAGAAAAATAAAATGTCAGAATTTTTAAAAATTTCTTAGACTATTATGTGATAATTAGTATAAGTATATATAATAACTGAAACATTTGTTTCTACGGATGTGAATAAAGGGTTTATTAGAATTCATGATATTCTGTATTAAAGAAATAGTATATTACAATGGTAATTAAAGATTTTTATATGCTAGAAATAAGAGTCAAAAATACACCTACAACTTCATTTTTGCAGCACTAGTCAAGTTCTTACTGCTTAATTTATTAAATATACTGGTTTCAGAACTTCCAAAACATTAATCCATCCATTTCTTGAACAGAAGAAACGTGGATAGAATTAAATGCTAAATGACAGTCAAGAGTCTGAAGAAACCTTATTTAAAATTATTATCTTTTAATGTATGTGAACTTCACACTGATTTTACACTTCTCTCACAGTCAATGTATCCTGACTTCTACTAGATACGTTGAAGTCTTGAAAAACAAATATTCTTGGATTAAAGAGTTCTCAGATATCTCAAGTGAGGTATAGTAGGGAGATGTCCAAAGAGCTGCTCCATGATTAGTTTTAAGCCAATTCTAATGAACAATTTTATCAACAATATGGAAGAAGCAATACACCAATTGAAACACAGAGGGCAGTACTTTGGATGATGTTATGAACACTGAGGAGAGCAAAGGACTACAAAGAGTTCAGAAATATTAGATCAATCTTTTAGGAGAACAGAAAGTGAGGGTGATCCAAACTGCATAATGTTACCCAGCAATACAGAATAAAAGGCAGTATTATTGTAGCAGGTGAACACAGAAGACTGCTATTCATAGCAGAACAGGCAAAAAGTTAAAATGACAGGGAAAGAAAGCCTAGGGATGGATAGAACCAACTCGGAATTCTTCTACATTTTGCCAGCAAGTTAGGCCTAGATATACCATCAAAAATAGAAGAAAGATAAGACTTCCCCACTGAGGATTTCCTGAATGGCATGGGCAACAAGCCAGACTAGCTGATTTCTAGAGCAGCCTTGGTCAGGGGAATTAGCTTGCATGTGGTGCTGTGACAATCCCTAAGCAACAGGGAGGTCCTCAGGAATATTAATCAGTGAGTACCTCTTGGCCGTTGCAAATTCTGCCAAGGCCAGAGAGTCAACATAAGTTGTTTTAAATGGGCTTTATACAGCAACCTGTCCTGACCTCTGTGTCTGAAGGACAACTCAGAGAAACAGACTATTTATGGTGTTAGAAAATATTTTGCCCCCTTTTTGGTGACACAAGTAAATTGATATATCCAATACAATTTTCCTCTTTATATGATTTGCTCTTTAGTTTTCTTAACATACTTGAGAACCTTTAATTCTTCATTTATATTCCCTTAGTCCTATATCTAGATAGTAATAAACAATTGGGTGTTACTTCCAAAAATGGTTATTCTCAATACTTATTATAGCTTTTATTTGCATTTTCCTTCTAAACAGCCTACATCAAGCTGTTTTGTATAACATTCTTACTTCTTTACCAGGGAGCACTACTATTATTTACCCAAATATGGATTTCCCTGAGTATATTGAAAAAATGGGAGAAATAGAAAACATACTACTTTGGAAAATTCTCATCTCCATTTCCAGAAAGACCTTTGAATATACAGACAACCAGTAAATTCTTTTCATAGAATCATTTTGGTTGGAAAAGATCTTTAAGATCATCAAGCTCAACCATTATCCTAACTCCACCAAGCCCACCACTAAACCATGTCCTTAAGAACCACATCAACATTTTTTTTTAACACCTCCAGGGGTGGTAACTCCACCACCTCCCTGGGCAGCCTGTTCCAATGCCTGACAACCCTTTCAGTAAAGAAATTTTTCCTAGTATCCAATCTGAATCTCCCTGGTGCAACTCTAGGCCATTACCTCTTGACTTGTCATTAGTTACTTAGAAGAGACCACCACCAACCTCACTACATCTTCCTTTTAGGTAGTCGTAGAGAGCAATAAAGTCTTCTGTCAGCCTCCTCTTCACTAGGCTAAACAATCTCAAGTGCTCCTCAGAGTTTTGGGTTTTTTTCCAGACCCCTCACCAGCTTTGTTGCCCTCCTCTGGACCTGCTCCAGGACCTCAACGTCTTTCCTATACTGTGGCACCCCAAACTGGACACAGTACTCAAGGTGTGGTCTCACCAGTGATGAGTACAGGGGCACTCAGCCTGAGTTTAAAACTCAGAGTCGAGGATTCAAAACAGTTAAAAAGCAGATCTACTTATACAATACTAACTGAACTGAAATGGTACTAATTCCACTGGTTTTGAAAATACACAATTTGAAAATACACACTATTTGAAAATACAGACGAGGCCGGAAGAAGGTAGGGGAAGGAAGAATGGGTGAAGCTGAAGTTATCTCAGCAGGGAAAGCAGAGATGTAAAGCAAACATTAATCTCACAGTCAATACACTCCTGAATCTCCTTAAATATCCTTGTCTTCGGCGGGCCAGAATTGGAAAGATTCTGTGAAGCCAGAGATATTGCAGTACAGTTTCACTGGGTGGCTCTTCACCTCTTCTAGGTA